GGGTTCCAATCTTCAGTAAGGCTAGGGATTTTTTTCTGTGGAGGCAAAATAAAATCCTCACCTGCACAGTCATGGCGACAGCACTAGCCATTTTGCTGTTAACCCTTAGGCTCAACCCCCCCCCCCCCCAGCCTACACCGCAAAAGTGGTAACATAAAGGCAGTAATTTGCACTTTTTTACCAAGAATATGTAACTATGGATAAGTGACTTAAGGATATGTAACTAAGAATAAGTAATTAGGGATCTACGACTAAAGATATGCAATTAATTATATGTTACTAAGGATATGTAACTAATCGGATGTAGCTAAGGAGATGCAGATAAGGGTATATAACTAAGTTCAAATAGTTGATTAATTAGAAAAAAGGATTTAAAAAAAAAAAAAACTGGGCACAACACTTCATGCAAGTTGCTTGGTTTAAACTCAGGACGTTTGCTTGGTTTAAACTCAGGACGTTTGCTTGGTTTAAACTCAGGACGTTTGCTTGGTTTAAACTCAGGACGTGCAACCCAATTCAATCATTTTATACGGTTGACACAAGAGCTAAAGTCAACGATAAAATTAAAATCCGCCCCTTAGGGATTTGAACAACAAAACATTGGATCGGGAGGAAACTGCTAGAAGTAAATGTAAAACAAAGGCGATGTTTTTCTGCTGTGAATTTGAACAAAGACAACACAAACAATAGACAGCACAAGAGATTGCCTGACATATCTCCACAGTGTATACTACAGTAACAATTGATTCAAGTGAAATAAATAAACAAGTCCTTCTAACTGAAACACAAAATCGACTGTGTTCAAAAGTAACAGTCTGTTTCACCAGAGCAAACTGGTTCACAACCATTTCCTTTTGCGTGCAAATATTCGCAGAATTCTCGGCTACATGGAAGACACGATAATAAACCGGTTCAGTTCAGAACTATGCAGAAAAGACTATTATGTCTTCTTTGTTGAAGTATGTGTTAAACTTTGACACCGAACCAATGTAATTTTCTCCATACTTCACCATGCATGTGTCCAGCTCAAAATGATAAAGGAAACACTAATTAAAGCATGACAAACTAATTTATTTCATGTTTAATCTTGTTTAACCTTTATTTATCCTATAATCTCTTGCACCCGGTAAAAGATTAACAGCATGGAAGAATTTGCTGTGTCTTTATCCGCCGGTAAATTAAACAGAAAAATTAACTGGCGTAAGTCTAATTTGACACCGTATTAACACCAGGGCTAAGCAACTGGGTGCCAAGCATTTGGGCGGTGATAAGGCACGTTTGTCTCATGATAATCAGATCGCGGCAAAATCAATCTAGTGGGTTACAGTTTGTTTCAAAAGTTACGCCCAAACCCAACTTTAAAAATCTGTAACCCAGAATGTCAGTGAACAAATTTAGGAAGAATTTGGAAGCAACCGAGATGTTGTTTCTGAGACGAATGTGAAGAATACCTTGGACGGCCAGAGTAACTAACAACAATTCCTTGAAAAAAGCTAATGAGAGTAGATTTCTAAATACAACATTAAGAAAGATACAAATACTGGCCACATTATGAGAAGAAAGACACTGGAGAACATCGTGACAACTGGAAAGATCAGTGGAAAAGGGGTAGAGGCAGACCAAGAGAGACGATGCTGGATGGGCTGAAACGATGGCATGGAGGGATATCATCAAGAGAGCTGTTCCAGGCAATTAGGGATCGTGATCTGTGAAGACGCATGAGCGCCTTCGCCAGGTGGCAGGGCACATGATAATGATAATGAACTCATTAATCGTTCGGTTGTTGAGTTGTTGAAATTTGACGTGCAACCTTTTAACAATCATGTCCTTGTGGTTGTTGTGTCTTTGTAAACACAAATCTTGTGGTCAAGTTGTCTTTGCGTTACACGAACAAAAAGACGCATATTTAAAGGAAACCGTAAGCTTTCTTACTATTAACTTAGCAACAGAAACGTTCCAAAATATCAGGCATTTCATGGGTGTTTCTCTCTCAGGTTGAGATCTCCAGTATCAACCTCCCATGAGTTACATAAACACATTTTTTTCAGTGTATGCGGGAGAGGCTACCACAATAACCACTACACATCGCTGAATAAGCGAAAAATTTTCCAAACAATCTCTACGTGTGTGTCAATTACTGTATATTCCATTTTTCCAGGGCACCTAAAATTTCGCCAAACAAAGAATAAATAAAATCGCCACTTTAAGAAAACAGACGCCCCTGTGCGATTGTAAATTACAAAATCATAATGACAACCGAAATCTAAGACCACGTGTAATAATTCGTGTTGATCCGCACAGGAGTTTTCGAAATATTTAATAAAGTGTAAGGACACGACTTTTGAATCGCACTATAGAAAAACTGTTGAAAGAAGAGCGACTGGGCAAGTAGTTCTGGTATCGGGGCTCTCAAACATGAGAACAAGGTTAAATCCTCTGAAAGGGAGGGATAATTGTTCTGCCGGAAACATAAATAAACGTCCTTACTGCACAGCTCGTGTATATCCCTGCCTGGTGTGAGCTGCAGGTAATTCTGTAACCGTCTAGGGCATCAGTAAAACCTTACGGTTGAACAGGGCTTACCAGGATTTCTATAAGTAGGATTGTGATCCGTGAGGTGTTAATCCTGCGAACTGTAATCCTACAAATTGCAATGCGGTTGGTGGCAGATGCCATCTTAAATCCACACGCTCGCCAGAGGGCCACTGTCTTACACAGCCTAAAAATGGTTGAATCAAGAGAATAAAGACAAACAGTCAATTTGTTCTGTTGCACACACACACACACAATTTTTTTTTAAAGAGGACGCTTTTCACTCCTACGATTCGATGGTGAAAAGGTCCTTTTCCCACGCCTTTAGAGGTATAGGGAATAAAGGGCTAGACCTATATTTTTAGACTAATCAACACTTGGTGGGTGATGTGGACAGCATTACGCCGGCCGATGATTTGATGGTACTTTCCGTATTTCTTGACGACAGCGAACCAGACAGTGCACTACAAGTAGCTCTGTCACGTAGACATAATAGAAGCAGAGCCAGTGGTCGACCACGCAAACAATGGATAGATGGAATATTCAAGGCCGTAAATACCAGTATCTACGTAGCACATACCAAGGCTTTCGTCCGATGCCTCTTCAAAATCTGACGCAGAAAGACAATACAGAACAAGCAGAAGAAGAGATGTTACACTGTGCCACAACTCAAAGATGGCGAGTGTCACTAGAAGGGCCTGAATGCATGTGACATGACACACAGAGTTAAGTACATGACGCTTTCCCGTGCCTTCAGGTCTTCTGAGAATTTTTGGGCTAGCCCTATATTTTATAGACCAATTGGTAATTGGTGGGTGATGTTTCAACATGACACCGACCGCCTTTACTTCCCAAAACTGGTACCCATTTAGCGCTAGGTCAGCCTGGGAGCCAAGATAATTTCTGAAAAATGTCCAGGTACTTTCAGATTCGAACCCATAACCTTTTGATCCGCAAGTAAGCGTCTATGCACTACACCACAGAGGCCCCCATATGGCAAAGAGGCTGGGTAATTTTAGAGACCACTTGTTGCCCATACGTACATCATTCTCTCTCTCTCTTTCGCTCTCTCTCTCTATCTCTCTCTCTTTGTTTATCTCTCTCTCTTTATCTCTCTCTCTCTCTTTATTTATCTCTCTCTCTCTCTCTCTCTCTCTCTCTCTCTCTCTCTCTCTCTTTCAAATAAGGGTTTATAACAGGCGTGTCAAACTGATAATGATGGTGATAATATATTAATAATATTAATAGTAATAATAATTAATAATAATAATAAATAACAGCAAAATCAACTAGCAGAGAAGCAATTTTTATTCCAAACGTTCGTATCTATCACATTTCAAGAACACTATAAACAAGTCTTGAAGCAGGAAATAAACAACATGTTACTGAGCCCTTGTCCCGGGGAAAAGGTGCGAAAATACTTCGTTGTTTCCAAATGCAAGGAATATTATCGGAATATGTTAAATGTTTGTTTTTTCTTTCCACCAGAGATTATTAGTAAATATGGAAAAAATTTTCTCTCGGTATGTTTTTTGAGAATAAACAAATGCTCTAATGTAATGATCTATGTAATTTGGCGTCAGTGAATTCTAACTGCACTGAAGAGGCTCTCTCGGAGATGCTCGCAGCCGGATTGTGATATGTATACTAAGTATGGGTTTATCTCAAAGGAAGAAGAAAGCGATAAGATTACGGCGTGAGTACTCGCTGTTAAGTAGGTCATTAGTTCGTATAGGTGTTGATGTAATAATGATGAGGAGAGATTACTTCAAAGAAAATTGTGGTATCTGGGGAGAAACTTTTGGGGTGAGCGGGGAACTGTTGCGGTGAGCGGGGAACTGTTGGGGTGAGCGGGGAACTGTTGGGGTAAGAGGGGGAACTGTTGGGGTGAGCGGGGAAATGTTGGGGTGAGCGGGGAATTGTTGGGGTGAGCGGGGTACTGTTAGGGTTAGCGGGGGAACTGTTGGGGTGAGCGGGGGAACTGTTAGGGTGAGCGGGGGAACTGTTGGGGTGAGCCGGGGAGCTGTTGGGGTGAACGGGGAACTGTTGGGGTGAGCGGGGAACTGTTGGGGTGAGCGAGGAACTGTTGGGGTAAGCGGGGAACTGTTGGGGTGAGCGGGGAACTGTTGGGGTGAGCGGAGAAACTGTTGGGGTAAGCGGGGAAACTGTTGGGGTGAGCGGGGGAACTGTTGGGGTGAGCGGGGGAACTGTTAGGGTGAGCCGGGGAACTGTTGGGGTGAGCGGGGGAACTGTTAGGGTGAGCCGGGGAACTGTTGGGGTGAGCGGGAAAACTGTTGGGGTGAGCGGGGAACTGTTGCTGACAATAGTTTTTGATGAGTTTGAAAAATAGATTTAGCAGTGAAGTCCAGGTAAGAAATGTCAAATTTAATCGATGCCTCAGTTGTGATTTACACACAGTACGTCTAATACTCACAGTACTCCCAATATTTCCAGTACTCCCAATTCACCCAGTACTCCCAATACACCCAGAAATTCCAAAATACCCAGAACTCATAATACAGCGAGTACTCAATACACCAAGTACTCCTAATATATACAGTTCTCCAAATACACCCAGCACGTCCAACACACTCAGAACTCCCAATACACCCAGTATTCTCAATACACCCAGTACTCCCAGTACTCCCAATACACCCAGTACTCTCAGTACGCTCAGTACTCCCAACACACCCAGTACTCCCAATATACCCAGTATTCTCAATACACTCAATACTCCCAGTACTCCCGATAAACATAGTACTCCCAATACACCCAGTACTCCCAATACACTCAGTACTCCCAGTACACTCAGTACTCCCAATACACTCAGTACTCCCAATATACCCGTTACTCCCAATACACCCATTACTCCCAATACACCCGTTACTCCCAATACACTCAATACTCCCAGTACACCCATTACTCCCAATACACTCAGTACTCCCAATATACCCGTTACTCCCAATACACCCATTACTCCCAATACACCCAGTACTCCCAATATACTCGTTACTCCCAATATACCCATTACTCCCAATACACCCGTTACTCCCAATACACTCAGTACTCCCAGTACACCCATTACTCCCAATACACTCAGTACTCCCAATATACCCGTTACTCCCAATACACCCATTACCCCCGATACACCCAGTACTCCCAATATACCCGTTACTCCCAATATACCCATTACTCCCAATACACCCGTTACTCCCAATACACCCAGTACTCCCAGTACACCCAATACTCCCAATATACCCAGTACTCCCAATAAACCCAGTACTCCCAATATACCCTGTACTCCCAATATACCCAATACTCCCAATATACCCAATACTCCCAATATACCCAGTACTCCCAATATACACAATACTCCCAATACACCCAGTACTCCAAGTATACCCAGTACTCCCAATACACCCAGTACTCCCAGTACACCCAGTACTCCCAATACACCCATTACTCCCAATACACTCAGTACTCCCAATATACCCATTACTCCCAACACCCATGA